AGGGCAGAATGACAGAAGGAGGCGTCCTGGGGACCCCTGAGGGACAGGCTCGGAACCACGGGCAGGCCGCCGGGAACGACGGCAGGTCCGCTTTGGGCACGCCCACGGCACGGCCCCCAAAGCTAAAGCCTCACATCCACAGGCCCCTGGTTCAGGCTCAGAGTCAGTGACGCAGGAGGGCCAGGCCTGAGATCAGCTTCCTGTCACACATCCTTGGGGACGCGGGAGCGAAGCCTCGGCGTCTGCTGGGCGCCCCCGCTGGTGCCCCGAAGACCACGGGACAGAGGACGTGCCAGCCCGTGCTGAGGGCAGGGGACCGGCAGGACAAGCGGCACAGAACAACACGGAGTGCAGCCGGGGACGCGTCCTCGTGCTGAGCGACCGCCGGCGTGTCCAGCGCTCCAGAGCTCTGTGGGGTCGGCCTCCCGCTTCCCGGGAGAAGCTGAGGCTGAAGGGGGATGCGGTTTGGCAAGGATGGAAAACTACTTGAGGTGAGAAGACCAGCTCATTTATTCCTCCTGTCGGACGTTTCTTGAACCTGCAGGCCCGGCTCGGTCGGTTCATGGAGAACAGAGCGGAGCTGGTGCTCTCGGACTCGAGGCGGACGTGCATCAGTACCGCGCGAGGCGGAAGGAGGCGCTTGCGGAGAACGGCTGACCGCGCCACCAGTCCCGGGTGGGAAGAGGCTGGTTCCTTTGGAGAAATGGAAAAAGGCCGCCGCAGCTTCGGAACAGAGTGAAAGAGTGGGAGACGTCTTCAGAGTTTATCCAACGACACAAGAGTCATTAAAGGGTTTAGGCAAAAACGCGGTAGCATTTCTATTTTTAAAACATCCTTCTGGCTGCTGTGTGGGGAAGCATCCGGAGGTGGCAAGTTTGGTTAGAAACCTCTGCCGGAGCCGGTGACGGTGAGGGTGACGTGTCCTAAGACGGAAGGGGCGGCCACAGGGAGTGGTGGCCGCACAGAGACGGGATCAGCAGGGCTGGAGGATGGGTCGGCGGCGCGGGGGTCATCCAGGCTGACACCCGAAGGCGGATTCGGGGTGGGCGCTGCAGCGGAGGTCAAGAGGTCAGGTTCAGATGCGCGACGCCTGGGATGTCGCCCAGACAGCCAAGCGGAAGTGTGGGGCAGGCAGGCAGACAGACATACAGACACTCGTACACACACCCCTAACCAGTCATCACAGAGAGTGTCAGCGGCCCGGGGGGAACGTGCTTCCCAGGGAGAGCAGAGAACGGCAAGCGTCCCAATGAACTGAGGTTTCAGGGGAGACAGACAGCGCGTGGGAGCCCAGGGAAGGCAGTGGTGGGCGGAGCAAGGTGCCCACCGCGTGGGCTGCGGCCGGAAAGGTGGGCGTCTCTCCCGGACCTGGCAGCGTGGACGTGGCGGACGAACTGACCAAGAGCCGTTCCGGGACGGATGGAAACCAGCTTGGATCAAGCTGAATAGGCAACAGAGGGGGCTGGGGAGAGTCAGACCCTCAGTGACGATGGCTGGGGGAGGAGCAGAGACAGGCAGGAGCTGGAGGGGGCGGCTGCACTAGGACCTCCGGCCTCCCGAAGCTTCGCCCAGGCCAACGTGCTCCCAACTGGCAGCGGAAGCAGCTTCCGTACCGTCGGCCCTGGGCTGACCAGAGAGCGCCCTTCCAGCTCCAGAAGACAAGGCACTGGGGGCTCAGAGGGGGCCTTTAGCCATAGCCGGCTCCCCCGGCCCCAACCCGTTTCACCTCCTCCATCCTTAACACACGACCCCACTTCTGGTTCCAACCTCGCTCAGGAAACCTCTGGGGCGCTGGCCTCCAGCACCCCAGCTCCCATTGCTGAAAGCCCCTGCATCCCCGAGGGGTCAGAAGGAGGCGGGGAGGCCCTCTTGATTCTGCACGTGGTCTTTTCCCGCTCCTGCCGCCCCAGGTCGCCCCAGCATGCAGCGGGCCTTGCCGCCCGCTCCCCGCCCCCCGAAGCTCTGCCCCGGGCTTCCGCCCCTGGCTGTGCCCCACCTCCGTGCGTTTGCTGGAGCACAAGTGCACGTCAAGCTCAGCCCTGCGCCTTGCCCAGCCGAACCTTGTCCATTCCTCAAGCCCAGAGCCAGTCCTCGCACCTCCAGAAACCCCCGCCCTGTCCCCAGCCTCTGTCTGGCACCCTCCCCCAAGGTGGGAGCCTGGCTTTCTCCGCAGGGGCTGCACCCCAACTCTGAGGACCAGGGACGCTCCCCGCTTATTCCTGCCTTTTCTCCGCCGGGCCCTGCGCGGCCCCTGGTAAATGCGTGTTTATTGATGGGGGACTGAGAAGAGCCGGGAGCAGCCCTTCCTCCCTGAGGGGTGAGGTCTGCGGGGACGTCAGCGGGGCCGCCTGCAGCAGCAGGCACTGGCTTCTCCAGGGTCACCGTGCGCAGGGTCACCGACCGCCGCGGAAGCCTGCCCGCCCTTCCGGGAAACGTTCAAAATTAAACCACAAAGTCCATGATTTCTGAAAACCACGCAGTGGAGCTGTCGGGCCGTTCTGCACCGTGGGCCCCCTCGGCGCATCCCGCCTGAGCCACACTCAGAGGGCGGCTTTCTCACCGGGCCCCCTCGCGCTTCCCGTAACAGACACGTTGGCTGCATGTGGGGGGAGAACTCGGCGCGCGGCGTTTCTTCCTCTCAAGGTGCTGGCTGAAGGGGATGCGCCGACCCACAGGCTGCGGTGACGGTGACGTTTGTGTCACAGGATCGCCCGTGAAAAAGGTGACCCTGGCCAAGTTTTTGGGGCGTCAGCATTTTGTGGAAATTGGCTCAGTCACCTCCGGGCTCCAGAGCGGCCTTAAACGCAGCAGCAACGACCGCAGCTAAGAGGGGACAGGTAGCATCCGGACCCAGATCTACAACGACTCACTTTATGACTTTTCGGGACCACGCCTGCTCCCCCGCACCAACACCTGGAAACACCGCCAGCAGCAGTTTAAAGGCGAGAGTTTCTCAGCCGGGGAGGTGAGAACTTAGCAAGGAAGGGTTGGAGAACCTGGCCCCGGAGACAGAGACACCCCGCTGTGGCCGCCGCCCTGCCCCCCGAAAGGTGATTCCAGGTGGCCACGCCCTCCCCAGACCCCAGGGAGCTCCTCCCCGGGCTCCGTTCCTCTCTCACGCCCCCTCCTGAGGTCCTGAGTATCTTCTCTTTGGGAAGGAATTCTTTATGCATGTGGTTTAGATTCGCTCGCTTACAGGAGAGCTATGTGGCCGAGAGAACAGTCAGGCGGCTGCCGTTCAGCCCCTCTGGCCTCCCCTCCCGCAATCACTGTCCCCAGCCCCCTACCAAGGCCACGCTGCCACCAGGGCCAGGCCAGGGAGACCAAAGCGAGGGCACCCTTGCCCTGTCTGGGCCTTTGTCTGACTTGGCTGGAAATAACGGGTTTCACAGAACACCCCAAACCAGCTCTAAGAGACACTTGGGTTCACATGTAATCATTCTTCTGAGGGTGTGTCTGTTTTTAAATGACGTGATTCACCCAAAATAATGTCCCCGTGTCTCACATCTAGCTGCCTTTGGGAGGGACCGGAGCTCAGTGTGCGGAGGCCCAGAGGACCGGCGACTCCGCCCCCCTCCCCCGCGACCCCCCCCCCCCCCAGCAGGAAGGGCCTTTCTCCCGCGCTGAGCCCTCATGTTTGAAAAGTGCAAACTCCTTCGGGAAGGACAAAGCGACCTGCCACCTTTCCTTTTGGCACCCAGGAGCAGCCTCTGCTTCGGGCTCCCGGCTCCAGGCTCCGGGGCTCCCAGGGCGCGCAGGAAAAAGCCCGCAGCTGCTGCAGCTGCCACGTGGCTTGACCCACATCCACGTTCACCGGACGAGCCTGGGAACTCCGGAGTTTTAGGTTAAGGAAGGAAAGGAGGCTGGCTTTCCACAAAAGGGCTTCCCCTGAGACTCCAGGCTAATTAGGGCGCCCCAGACCGCACTGGAACGGCAGCGCTACGCAGGCCCCCCACCCCGCCAGCCGCTCCAGTTGCCGGCAGCTCAGAGTCTGCTGCTGAAAGGAGGCTGGCGGGGAGTGGTGAAAATTTAGTAAATAAGAGAGTTCTGGACGCCACCGCCCAAGCCCCAGCCTGCGGTTCCGGGCAGGCTGTCGGCCCCTGGCGGCCGAGGAGTGGCCGGAGGCTGGGTCTCCACCGTGGCCGCCGCAGCGCTGGGTGCGCACGGAGCGGCGGCGCTGCGGAACGGAGTTGGAGATCCGGCGGTGGGCGGCCGGGTATCCCTCCCAGAGCCGCAATTTGGAAAGTTCCGGAGTGAGTAAGGACCCTGGAGCGGCAGGCGCAGAGCGCACGGTGCCGACCCAAGCCTCCCACGCAGGCCACCAGCCCTGCTCTGCCGGACCAGCCGGTGCCTCTGCTCCCACCGTCCAGAACTGGTCCAAAGGGCGCCCAGCCGGACGGGCGGCTCTGCCGGGGTTGCGGTTCTGGACGGAAACGCCTCCAGGCTTCCTGGCCCGGGGGACAAGGGCTGAGACTCAACCGCCTCAGGAAATGGGCATAAACACCCAGTCCCGCTCCCTCGCACGCACGCCGGGACCTGCTTCGCCAAGCCCGCTCGGGTTCCTCCAAAGACGCGCGCGGCACAGCCCATGCGCCCCCGCACTCCATCCCTCCTCTGTCGCCACAGGTCCCCCCAAACTCTTCCCAGAAAGCCCCCCGAAGCACAGACGACGCCCTGAAACTCCCAGGGCACTAGCCCAACGCCCCCCCAACCTGAGTCTCTCTAACCCTCCTTGTCGCGTTCTCTCCGCCCCGCACCGTCTCCTCGCGTTCGCGGGGAGTCAGACGCAAACCACGAGAAAATGCTCCGCGAGGAGCCTCCCTACGCCCGCCTGTCACTGAAACAAAAGCGCAGGGAGGAGGGAGGTGGAAGAGGAGGCGGGAGGAAGGTTTAGAGAGGATGGGGCGAGCGGAGAGGAGCCGCTGGGGAGGAGGTCGGGGTGGGAGCAGAGACGGGGCCGGAGGGAGATCCGCTCTGGCCCCGCGCGGCCGGTCGCTTACATGCCCAGGTCGCTGTAGGTGTTGAAGAACTCCATCTGGTTGCACGCCTGGATCCAGCCGACCACCCAGGTCTCGTGGCGGGGAATGGGGGGCATGACCACGCGGGCCGAGGCTTTGAAGTAGGGGGTCTTGTAGCGCAGGACGATGGGCGAGGTCTCCTCGATGCGCGTGGGGCACTGGTCGATGGTGGCGCACACATCGTACACCACGATGTTCTCGCGCCGGATCCGCGCCTTGCAGGTGATGCTCTGGATGCAGCCCATCCTGCCGCCCGGCCGGCGCGGCGCGGGGCGCGGGGGCCGCACGGGCAGCCGGGGGCGCCCGTCACGCCGGCATGGCGACGCGCCGCCCGCGCCCGGGGCGGCTCAGCTCGCGCCTAGGAGCCGGGCGCCGCCGCCGCCGGGCATCCTCCGGGGAAGCCCCCTCCTCCCGCGGCCGCGCGGGGTCCCGGCCGCTGGCCCCCGCCCCCGCCACGCCCGTCCCTCTCTCCCGCAGGGCGCGCGGAGCGTGCGCTCCTAGGAGGGGGTGGGCGCCCCCGCCGGCTCCAGCGCCCGCGCGGAGGGCAGGGAGGGGAGCGGCGCTGCGAGGAGGGGCGCCCACCGCGGGCCGGAGCCCCCCGCCCCTCTCCGGAGAGGCGGCGGCGGCCGCATGGAGCCGGGTCCGTCCGCCACCGCCGCTGCCGCTGCATGAACCTCTGCACCGCGGCCGCCCCCCGCGAGCCGCGCACCCAGCGGCGCTGCCGGGCGGCGGGCGGAGGCGGCGGCGGCGGCGGCGGCGGCGGACTTGGCGCCCCGGGCCCCGCCCCAAGCGGCCGCGCCGGCACCCGCCGCAGCGCCGGGGGTGCCCGGGGGCGGTGGCCGGGGCGCAGGGCCGGTGGGCCCGGCGGCCAGGACGCGATCGCGGAGAAAACTGGCTGTGCGCCAGGAGGTTTGTCCCTCTCCGGCTGCCGTCCGCCGAGGGGGGGTGTTTAAAGGGCCGCGGGCGCGGGTGGGGCCAGACACGTGGACCGGGCCGGGCGGGGCGGGGCTGCGGTGGGCGGTGCCCGGGGGTGGGCGGGGGGCGCGGGGACCCTATCGGAGGGGGGCTGGGTGGGAGGGGTGGGGACCCGGCCCGGCGGGGCGGGGCCGGCAGGAATCTGGCGGGTGTGGGGTGGGGTCATGGGGATCTGGCCCTAGTAGGGTGGGCGGTGGTGGTCGTGGGGACCCGGTCCGGCCGTGGGCAGCGTGGGCGCGGGTCTGAGTGGGGCGCGCGCGGTCAGGAGTCAGGGTGGGGTCCCGCAGTGAACGTTGGGGGCAGCGACGGAAGATGGTCCATTGTGTACCGTGTCGTTGGTGACTTTGCCCTGGAGGTCCCCCGGGCTCCCCCTCGATGATGCCAAAGTCAGGGCGCCAGTGGCGGCCCGCGGGGCCGGGGGCGGAAGACTCCCCTGGGTTCGCTCTGGAAGTTCTCTTCCCACCGCAGCCTGGAGGGAGGACACCTAACACCGAGCCGCCAAAGTGCCAGCAGCTTTGGTTACCTGGGGGGGGAAGCTCAGCTTCTACTGCCGTCACCCAGATCTTGTCCTTCTCAGGAAGCGCAGTGGACTGGCCCGAAATGCCGCGCGGTGCGTGCAGCTGCATCCTGGCCAGGCTGTGCCGAGCGCTGCATCCTCGCTGGGCTAACGTCCTTCGTGAGGTCGCCCAAGGTAACGCGCGGCCTGCCGAGGCCACGGGGAGCCTGGGCCCCTGCAGGAACCAGGCTAGATTTAAGCCGCAACTGCAGGATACACGGGCGTCCTGTGCGTCCCTCCACCCCACAGAAGGCCCGGGACCTCAGGGACCCCGCCCTGCCTTGCACGTGGTGCCGGGCCACAGTTGTGCCAGCCGGATGAATGAGAAACCCGCGCAGCCTGGCTGTGGTTGTCCTGCGGACATGGCCACCGCAGACACTGGACACTGCATGCGGTGTGACCCACGTCATGTGCGACACTGGTCGGAGGTGCTAAACAGGAAAAATGGTTTAGCAAATGCCTTTCCTGGGCACTTTTTGCACTTACGCGTTCCCAGCCCATGGCTTCTCCGTGAGTGTTCCCTGTAATTACGGGACGTTTGCGGTGCCGAGTGTGAAGTCCTCTGACGAACAGGCTGCAGGAGGCAGGCTAAAGTTAGTCTTTAGCTAGAACAGATGTGATGAGTAATTTAACAATTGGCTGAGATCTCAGCACCCCTCACCCTCGTTTGAACCTTTCTGGCCACTTGATTCACTTTGGAGTTAACGCAAGGCGGGTGGCCCTTGGGTGAGGGGCTCCTCTCGCTTTGCCAGATGCCCACAAACCTCAACCGCCCTCCCTCCTTCCAGCAAACGCCGGCGGCCTGCGAGGGCCGGCACCGTGCCGAGCACGAGGGTTCAAAGGCAACCGGAGCTCAGGGCCGCGGAAGACCCACCTGTTGACAAGCTGTCCCTGGACGCTGTGACACGCGCCTTAATCGTGGCGCGGGGCCAGTTCTGCAGGAGCCCGGGCAGGAGAGCCACAGAGAGTCACGCGGAGTGACACGTAGTGACACTGGGGCAGACCCTCAAGGCGCCGACGGAGGCTCACCGGGAAAAGAGGGGTGAAAGGACAGTGGAGGGCGCGGGGCGGGCAGGCGCAGAACGCACGGGGCTGTGGAAGAGAGAAGCAGGTCGCGGCCGCGGCGTCCCGTGCAGACCGCGGGCATCGGAATCCCAGCCGGGGCTTGGTGGGGCCCTATCTTGATAGTGCACGGAAGCCCACAGATGCGAGCTTTGCGTTTGGAGAAGAATTACTCTCTATCAATTTGGAGGACGGAGCAGGCGTCGTTTCAAGCGGGCTGTCAGGAAAGTGACGGACTTGGTAGCAGATTACGTGTCAGGGGAAGAGCCTGGCCCACTCTGAGTTTTCCAGCTTCGGCAAATAAATCCGTGCGGCCTTCCCCGTCGGAACAAGGCGGGGAAGCCGGCCCAGACTGCGTGTTGTCACGTTAACTTCCAGGTACGGGGAGGTGATGTTGGGCGGGGGCCAGAGTTGGAGTTTCCGAGGATTTTAGGTTCCAGGAAAAAGAACAAGAGGAAAACATTCAACTGAGGGAATTAGTTATCTTTGTTGATTTGAGTTGTCAGGCTACAATTTTGTGCATAAATATCGTCCTTTGTCTTCGGGTAAGCGCACGCCAAGCCTTCCCCAAATTACAGGAAGTCATATAAAGGAAAAGAAATCCTTTTTTTCAAACTTCGCACGAGACCGTGTTCTCTGCGGTGAGGCGCCAGTAAAGTGTGACCAGTTTGGCACAGGCTTGAACTCTTTGACATTCTCGAAGGGTCTACCCCATGACCTTCACGAGTCTCCAAAATCATGAATGTCACCATGACATGTAATTTCCGCTGTAAAAAGCAGTAAAGTGTAACTGAAAGGTGGGAGGGACTCTAATGGTTCAATAAATATGGGGCCAAGGTAATTTCTAAAGCCACTTAAATAAATTTTGCCGTGAAAATAAACTCCTGACTTCATGATGTTTGCGCCATATTAACTCCATAGTTCCCTGATTCTGCAAAGAGAAAAAACCGCATGAGCCCCGCTAGAGAACCGCCCCGTAGATGCCGCGGAGCGGAGCCCCGCCGTGCTGGGGCAAGGGGAGCGCCGGCCAGGCCTGGGCGTGGGCCGTTTGCCGGCTGAGGGGCTGCTGAGTGCGTGCTGGCCATTCCGACCTGTGTCTCAGCCAAGTCACCCAGGACAGGGACCTTGCGCATGACCCAGTGGAGGCTGTTTCCCTCCCCGAATGTTGGGTCTGCAAGTGCCAACGGCCACGGCCTGTAGTTCGAGTGCGCGCCCGGCCGGGCACGGCCGCGTCCCTGCGCCGCCGCTGTAAGCGCGTCTTCCTCTCCTGGCGTGGCGCGCCTCCCCGCCCCTCTGAGTGTCCTGGACCTGCCTCTGTTCGCCCCCTTCATGCTGTCCCACGATGGCCAGGCCACACTTGTCCCCTGTGATACACAGTCCACGCCTCGGGGAGATGTGTCATCGGGTCCTGTTGTCCAGCCTCATGCCTGGCACCTAGGAGCCGCTCGGTAAATGTTCGAACGACAGATTATTTTTTAAACACCTGTGCCCGTCTCGGCTCCTACGACAAGCCTGTGTTCTCGCCCCAGCCCTTCCGCTCGCCCCGCCTTGTCCTCGCCCCGCCCCCGCCTCCCCCCGCCACGTGCATCCCTGTGGCTGAGTGCCACCCTTTGTCTCGCGGCCTGCTGCACCGCGTCAAGGGCTGTCTGTTCTGGGCACCGAGGCAGGGAAACGCCTCAGCGACGAGACCTTGACGACAATCATGCCTTGTGACTTTGTTCGGGTTTGGTCTCGGGGCCCAGCACAAACGCTCTCTTGTGCTCCGTGCTTTTGATGTGTCCGTGCATGAGAGAGTGCTCAGTCCCCGCGCCCCGGGCCCCGGGGCACAGGCCAGGGGCCAGCCCGGCCCCCCTGCCCGCCACAGCCACCCGCTCAGCCCCCGTGACCCCGCGCCACCGTCCCAGAAGCAGGGCCGACTCCGACTTCATTCTTCCCATCTATCGACTCGCTATTCAGTTTGTCAAGGGAGCTTTTGAGAAACTCTGCGTCACAAGGAAGGGCGATTTTCCAGTTGACCTTGGCTAGGTTTCCAGAAACCGCGGAACAGACCCCCAGAAGCGTTGCGGGGTTTGTCTCTGGCACTGCGGGCGGGTCTCTGTCTGGTGCAGGCCGGTGGAACACGGGCAAAGATTAAGTGAATCTGCATGGCCCAAGAGCACAGGACTAAAGAAACAGCTCTCTTTCTCGGTTGTGAATGCTTCCTGCCACCGCTTCCAGTCAGGGCGACCCATTTCCCTTCCAGGCCAGGCCGAGAAACCCAACTCAAGTAGACCGCGGCAGCGGGCTTCTGCGCGGCGACGGCTCAGCCCAGGATGCGGCAGCCGCTCCCGGGGCCAGGCTTTCTTCGCGAAGCTTTCCCCGCCACCTGGGGCACGTTGGGCCGCAGACTCGGGAGAGGCATGCCCTCGTTCCTCCACTGTCCTGATGAAGGTCGCCTGTCCCGCCTCTGATACACCAAGGCCTTCCTCTGTCCTTATCTGTACTCGTGGATGCTCTTCTTTTAACCCACGATTCTATAAATCCTGATTCTCCTAACCCCTGGCCCCTCTTGCCTCCCCGCCCCCCACGGTGGTGTTCCCCAGAGTCCCTCCTTCCTGCCTGGACCCCCTCAGGCCATTGGCCCAGGCTACAGGTTTAAACTCTTATTTTCTATCCTGGCTTCCAAGCTTGTCCCTCGGC